AACACCGTTCGGTTCCTTTTCAATTTTCACAAAATTAAATGTATTAATCGCTTATCTCCAACTACTTTCGTATTTGGTTCTGAAGCAAAACATAAAAATCGAACCGATCTCGGGCCTATAATGAGCTAACCTAGTATCATACATATATTCAAGCACATATAATACAATAAAATCATTATATATTCACTCATATTCCATAAATAAGGAAAATATAAATTATCTTCTCTCAACACATTGGCACTCATAAATCTTTCTAGTTTCTAGTATGATTTGTAGGGCTATCTAACTAATTGATCTATTTAATGCTGATATGTATAGCTGACTTAACCATTTTTCCTTCTTGGATTGATATAAGTTGGGGAGATCATAATTAAATTAAATTCAATAAAATAATTAGCAAAATATGTACATTTAATTGCTAGGTATAGTGTACTATAGTAGTGTGGACTCTTTGACTTTGTTGAATGTAATAACCAAAACATCTACTCCCTCCTTTTTTAAATAAATGTCGTTTTGACTTTTTTGATTCATTCATTTTGCTATGTATCTAGACATTAATATGTCTAGATACATAGCAAAATGGATGAATCAAAAAAATCAAAACGACATTTATTTAAAAAAGGAGGTAGTATTATCTATTGTTATGCTTTGACTCCCATTTTCCTCAGCCATAATTGGCTTTCCACACCTATATCTATATGCATTAAATCTATTTAGTTAATTACTATGCACACAAAAATCATTTTCAATTTTATTTTTTTTAAAATGTATTATGATTGAAAAAAATATTTATTTAGTTCTAACTAGTGTTTAAAATAATATACTTGTGGGCAGTATCGGTTATCGGCTATTGGTTCAGGATAAATACATATAAAATATCGAACATGATAATACTGGAGTTGTACTAAGTACTAACCGACTCAATAAATGAAAATAAAATAAAATAAAATAAAAATTATTAATATTAACAATTAAGTTATAAAATTGATAAATCTTATCTTATTGAGAAGTCAAGGCTCACTAAATATAATTATTTAAATTTTATATTTTGTCATTACTTTTTATAGTTATATTATTCCAGTATTCAACACATTGTTGTAACAAATTCACAACAATATTTAATTAATCAGATTTTTTTTTGTTTTTTTGCGAAAATCAGAAATAAACTAGTGAAGTGAATAAAGAGATTACAATTATTGAGTTGATTTAAAGCCTATATTTTCTCTAGCCTGGAGCCGGCACTCCTAAAGCAGTTAACCAGATGTGGGAGCAAGCCGCGAAAGCCCTACTTCATTGTTGGAGTTCACGAGGACCAATTACATTGAGCCTTAACCAACTCTGGAAACTCAGAAAGCGACTCTTTATAATTATTGAGTTGATTTAAATCTAATTAAGCTGTGACAAATTAATTGTTTAATATAATTGATTTAAATCTAATTAAGCTGTGTCATATCTTTCAAAAAATAAATATAAGCAATTTATTTTTAAATAGATTACTATTTAAATAAAAAAGTTATAATATTTTTATTTTAAAACTAAGGAGCATTGATTTTTTTACAAAAAAAAAATCAAATGTTAAGTTGAAGACAAAAAAAAAAAGGAAAAAGGGGGAGTGGAGAGAAATAAAAAGGACGTATTTAACAAATACGTTTTCTAACTTTTTTTAATTGTAAAACGTATTCCGTGAATACGTTTTCTTTTGTAAAAAAATGTGAAAAACGTATTTAGTGAATACTTTTTTGATTAAAATATACAGAAAACGTATTTTGTAAATACGTGCTTTTTATGTTGGTCCACTACCCTCTTTTTTTGTTGTTTTTTGTCCACTTATTATTTTTTTATTAATAAATATATAAATTACTCGAGCATTACTTATTTAAATGTCGTACAATTCTCATGCTTTTTGCACATAGCACGACTGTCGCAGAACATAATCCGTGATTTATTCAAATTTTGAAACTTTTTTCATATAAAATATCTGCTAATAAATTATAACAGCACTACAATATACTTTAATTTAAGGTTTAATTGCACCTAAAATCTTCAACCCCAAAAAAACGAGTTCACCTCAACATCTTGAATATATTTACGAGCTCAACTCAAAATCCTGAAAATTTGGGCAGATTGAGCGATTTCCGATTGATTTTTAGGTGATTTTATGTTCTGATAGGGCACCCCAGCGAAATTGGCCGAAAAATGATTTTTAGACAAATTTGCAACACAAAATAAATGTTTGGTATTTATTTACAAAGATAAAAAAGTTTGAGTGCTATTTACAATTACACAAAATGTTGAGGATTTTATCTGCAATTAAGTCTTAATTTAACCCTGAACTCAAGATTAATTACTGGAGAAAAAGTACAAACATAAACGCGCCTAGCAGCACGCGCTTGCTGCTCCTAAATTTTTAAATTTTAACAGACTAAGAATCGAGCGTGGTAAAAACGCTCTTTGCCGCGCCTTGGGATGTTAAAACAAGAGACAAGGCAATAAACTAGAAATAACCTATTTTGCTGGTTAGATTTCACATGTAAGAATCTTTGTACATTAGACAAAAAATAAACAATAAAAAAAGATCAAAAGCGCGTTCAGGGAGCAGCTTTTTAGCAAGAGCCAAACACGCCTTTACCAATCTCTTCAAATTTCTTTTGTTGCTTTTAATAAATTTAAATAAATCAGGAAAAAGCACAGCCTAAAATGAGTAATGTTATGTTGTCAACCTAGTGTACAACTAGACGAAGAGAGTTTAGCGCAGTGGCGCATACCTCGCTCGCCGTATACCATATCCCGAGTTCGAGTCACTAGGAGGGGAATTGAGAACTAATATTAATCCTCATGTGTGTGTGTAAAAAAAAAAAAAACTAGTGTACAACTAGGTTGACAACACAAGTTAAATCATGTGTTTCGGGAAGCAAATTTCACTGCGGATCATCTGGCTTCTTTTGCGGCGTCCGAACACTTAGCAGTGCACCACCTTCCACCCACCACCGTCCATAGACAGATGACTTGAACATGATATTATTGGGGTTGGTTTACTTCCGTCTTGTTTTGCTTTAGCATCCCTTAGGTTTCGGCCTCCTCTTATTATACCGAACCAAAAAAAAAATATATAAAAATAAAAAATACACAAGTAGATGTTTCACTTGTATTATCAATCTAGTTGTACATTAGATTGACTATGTATCATTTTTCTAGCCTAAAATAAGGTTGGGCAACGATGCGGTTCTGTGCAATACCACACCTATTACACAAAATTAGAGAAAGAAAAAGTATAAATTTATAATTGAATTGCAACGCAATATAAATATACATAAAAACACATTTAATCTGAATCAAAACATTTTATACTAAAATTACATGGTTCGAACCGTATAAATTGTACGGTTCAACTTAGTTTTTCGACTTACTATGATTTAAATTTAGTTGTGCAAAATTGCACCAAGCAGCGTAGATCTATTTCTCTATCTTCTCCAATTCGAGTTTTACTCGAACTAAAAAAAAAAATCAAATATGTAAAAACAAAAAGAAATAATCAAACTTCATGACAATACATAAAAAGTCAAATCAATATGCTTAAACTACGAAAAAATTTCTCCAATGAAATACTGAACCGCACCGCACCAAATCTCACTGTTGGGCTCGAATTTGTCAAAATATTTTAAATCCAACAGTATCACAAAATACCTACAAACTGATGTAAATTAGACTTGTAGAAAAATGTAACCAAATCACACCACAATATATAAAAAAAATCCAACAATAATCAGATTTATAATTTTCTATACAAAATAACCAAATCGAAGGGTACTGCACCCATTCCATTATATCTAAAACAATAAAAATGGATAAACCAATTATTTAAAAAAAAAAATAAAAAATTATTGGGTGGATCTAAAAATTGCACAAAGGCAAAAAGTGGGTCCCATTTTTCAGGGGGCAAAAAAGTCAAAAAATGGTCCCACTAAATTCACACTCACACAGTCCTATACTTTTTTCGTGGTTATAAAAACCAGCTAAAGAGCACCAATTCTTTGCATCTCCCCATAAAAACAACAACATTTTACTGTAAATCAAGCTCAAAAAAATCACGCACAAACACGCCCACTGCGTGCGCAGCTCCCCACACACACACACACACATACACACACACACACACATTCCAAGACAAGGCTTAACAGCTGTCTGCCTTAATTTTCATGGACTCTGTTGTTTAAAGCTAGCGCCTTTTTGCTCCCATTTTTTCTTTTTCTTGCTTGATTAAGTATAGAATAAAGTGGGGTGTAAGTGAAAAAGGAAAGCAAAGAATCAAAGTGTGCAGTAGTAACATTTTATTGGTGGAGGTAAAACTATTACCCAGAAGAAAAAAAAGAGGGAAAAGGGAAAAAGAAAAGATCTTGGCATTCAAAATTTGCATTATTGAAGTGGGTTATTAATTATTATATATATTATATATAATTTGTTCATTTTTGGCATTATGGGCTTGAATATAGCAGCAATGTGCAATGTATTTTTGGTCATGGTGATGGTGGTTTTGTTGTTCTGCTCATGGGTTCCTTGTGGAGAAGCTTCGGTTTCCTACGACTCAAAGGCCATTATTGTTAATGGGCAGAGGAAAATTCTTATTTCTGGATCTATTCACTACCCAAGAAGCACGCCTGAGGTA